GAAATGCACCTATGACTCTCAATGGACATACAATGGGCTTTTAAGTCAATTTCACATATTTAAACATTTATTTATGTAATATCGATAATCAGTGAACAACATCAACGTTCATTTATTACTTTTAGAGTAGTTCATATTTTAAAATTTATTCGTAATATCATTTCCATACACATTATGAAAACATATCAAAGTATTGTAAAACATGCTTTATCAAAACATTAGAGGTTGACTCATCGTAAATCTCCCTTATTTCATAGAAGTACAATAAATGCACTCACCTAATATGCCTCATTAATCTGCTGTAATGATGTCCGACTATTCGGCAACTTTATCCTTGCCATTTTTTTGCTTGGCTCTGGGGCTTGGCTACGGTCTATATAAACATCCAATAATTACATATACCATACAAATGTTAGTATACTTTCTAACATTTATTCTTTTAATAATACTCAAAAGTACTATTATTTTCAATTTCTATTAAAATTCATCTTATCTAAAAATTCCAGGCTCAATAGTATCGGTACCCCTACTATGGTATCGATACTTCTATACTATAGTACAGATACTCCCTTCAGTATCAATACCACTTCTGCATTCTGGAATCCATAGTATCGATACCCTCAACAGTATCGATACTAATTGCATCAATATTGATATTGTTCATCCTCTTTCCTCAAATTTAAACCTATAGTATCATTATTGTTCTTCGAGTACCGATACCCTTACCCAGATTTTCCATTTTTCATTTTTAATTTTTACCCAAATTTCGTTTAATTCTCTTACTTTTACCTCCAATAATACCATTAAACTCATCCTTACTAAACTCAACTAACTTTCCTTCATTAATCTTCCTCTAACATTTAAAATCTTCAAAGAACACTCCAATCCAAGAATCACACTACTTTTTCATACATGTTTTTAATCACATCCAAGGCTTCTGATCTCTCATTTACTTCTTTAACAAGTCAAATTTACTTGTAAATCTCAATATAAACTCATATTTCATCATATCACTCAAAAAACCCATTTTCTTCAATCTCAAATAATTCACTAATCACTTAGTTTTAATCACCCTTGAATATTCCTTAAGCCTTTATATCACTTAAGGTTTCACAACCAGCCCATAAACTAAAAGAAACCCCAACTTGAAGAAATATTACCTTTGGCTATGGGGGAGAACACAGAACGAGAAGAACCAGAAGAAAAATATAACTTAGCTTTTTTCTCAACTTTTCCCCTTTTTCTCTTCTTAAATATCCCTAATAAAATAAATTTTAAATCAATTTCCCTCTAAAGGACCAAAATGCCCTTTCATTCTTACATTCTTACTAATTGGTCTTAAACACAATTTCCTAAATCATTTCTTATACTTTACCATTTATTCAATTTAATTCTCTAAATTTTAAATCTTTTCAATATAGTCACTGACCCGATGTTTGGGGTATTACACCCTTGAACTTTTAAAAAAATCAATTTAGCAGTTGAACTTGAAAAAAACAATTTAGCACACCTGCCATGTCATCAACCACATCACCAACCACTTTGACTGGCACATCAGTGATAAGTGTTCAAAATCGTTAATCTTTACTTGTTATTTTTTTTGATTTTGTGGAATTATTGATGCTGAATTGGTCGTGTTATACTTGTTTTTGTACAGGTCCTTGTTTTCCAGAATTTGTGACAAAATGGGCGAATTCTGCATTTTTATTATTTGGTCACGGCTGGAGACATGGGCACGACTCTAGACACGATGCGGTCTGACATGGTAGTTTCTAGAAGGTTCAGTCAGCGGCGGTTTCTAGAAGACTTCATCCGCACGCCTTCTAGAAGATTGACGAGTTGAGTTGCATTAGGAGACTAGTTTAAGTTTGAATTTAAATTAAAAACAATTATCTTTTAGGATTATTTTATTTATTTTCTTTGTTTATCTCTTAGGCTTTGAGAGGCTATAAATACCCACTTGGGGTAAGCTTAAACTCATCACTCAAATTACATTATTCTTTTCTCTCTAGTTTTATTAAAGTTCTCTCTTTTTACTTTTCAAGTTTTTCCCTTTTTCTTTTATTTTCAAGCTTTGTTTTTAATATGCTAAGTATGGCTTTTGTCATGCTTAGCTAAACTTTTCATAAGCCGAGAGCTTTCGCGATGATTCAATTCCAACGGGAGAATTGAAACGGTCCCTTAATATCTTCAGAATATCTCTCTCAATCTATGCGCTTATTTTTCAAAATCAAAACAGTTTTCAAAATCAAAGATTGACTTTGGTTAAGAGGTTGTTGCGATTAAACGTGTGGGAGGAAGATTCGGCTTATAGAAAGCAATTCGACTTCCTGGGAACACACTTGGCGAGATAGCTTCGCCAAGAGGGAATTGAGATCGAAATTGACGGTTATTGAAGCAACAATCTGAGTCGGTCGCCACGAACTTAAACGGTAATTGATCTACGACAATTGATGTTGATAGAATCAATTCCCGAAGCCGGAATCAAAGATTTCCTTGGGTATTCGGTATACAAGATAGAGTCACGGGGATAGCCCTTGTAGACAAAGTAACCGACGTGAATCTTGAAGAGAAAATCTTATTCGATGATTTGAAGGAAATATAGTCAAAGCGAAGCTTGAGGCTACTTTTACCGTATTTATTCACAATATCCATCTTCTTATTTTTACTTTAATTGCTTTTATTTATTTAATCACTTTTATTATTTTAATATCTTTTTACCAAAATCCCCCCATTTTTACTTCTCTTTACTACGTATTTCCTTTATTTATTGATTGAGAATAAGGAATTTATTTTGACACCGAAATGACAGTTGTCAATCAGTATCGTAACGGTCAATGAAGGAAATCATTGGTCAAAATGCCACATTTGATTCTTTTTATAAGTTTGATGGCTATATTGAGTACAAAAAAATGTCGAAAGCCAAATTATTTTTTTGGACAACTACAGGAGCCTTAGGTATACTTTTACTAAATTTTTATTAATTTTTTATTAAGCTAAGGTGATTATAAGTAGTATATGTTCTTATCTCACACATTTATAAAAAAAGTAATTTTTAATATAATGTTTTTTATTTTCTCTAATATAAAATATGTTAATTTAAAAAATAATTTAAAATGAATATTAATTTAAAAAATAATTTTATTTTGGTTTCTGTCTGACCCGAATAAAGCCATAGAAATTGTTGATAAGGAGTAGATTTATGCGTTGGAAGTTGCGTCCCTGAAAGCAATGAAGCTTCCCCAAAAGCAAGACAACCTAAGCTTGTCGTCTTCTTTGTTTCTTTACATTTAGAGGCTGTTTGGATCATAGAATTGAGGATTATTGTTAGGAATTTTTTTTCTAGATTGTAATACCACGTTTTGATGGGAAAGATTTCTAATAGGGGAGTAATAAACTATTTCCAACAACAATATTTTATAGCCTTTTACCGAGAATGCTAATCCCATTCTTTGTTTAGGTATTTTTTTTCTTTAACTTTGACTAAAATGCCCTTGAAACAAAATATTTTTTTCCAAAATACCCTTACTTTTATTTCAAAAGCTATAGTCTTTTGTTTTCACAAATTTGTTAAAATTTATTTTCCCAAACCACAACTATATTTTTCCTTGTTTTACTATCCAAACCTATTATACATTTTATTTATTTATTTATTATCATCACTTTTTAAATATTAATTAAGATTCAAAGAATATATGGTATATTTACTCTTTTAATCTACCCATTTATCTTTTAAATTTTATAAAAAAATTTATATAAATTTTATGAATTTAAATTTAATAAAAAATATAAATTGAAAATAATACAATAATATATTTTCTATGAATTTTTATATAAATATTTTCATTTGAATATTTTGAATTAAACTTGTTAAAAAAATATCATAAGGACAATTTAGTAAAATATGCATTCTAGTAATCTTTTATTCTTTTAATCAATCATTGTAATCATACATTCCTGTCAAATAAACCAAACACAATAATGTAACATTCTGAGTAATGTGTAAGGTAATGTAACATTCTGATAATCTTATTATCGAAGATAATGTTACATTCTATGAACCAAACGTCCCCTTAATATCGATCATCGTTACCAACAAATTTTTACAACATCAACACGGAATTTAATCCCCCAGGCCCAAGTCCGTTCATTTATTTTAAAAGCTTTTACCTGAGTGCATGTGAGGTTTGTTCTACTTTCCTAAAATATTATTCTAATAATTTTAAATTTAATATCGAATTTGATTTCAAATATTAATATTTAAATTATTAAAAAGTATTAATTGTTGAGAATAAATATTGATATTTTTTTAAGTATCGATATTTTAATCCCGGGTATTATTAATACTCAAGTCAAGTCTGTGAACATTTCTTTTATGTAAAACAAAGAGCGTAATATACTCATCATTTACATTGTTGAGTGATATTCTAGTGTTCCTTCACCGACATTTCTCGTAATTAGACTTATTATATTGGGTATGTCGGGTTTAGTTAGGTCATATTAATTCGAATTTTAAAAGTGTTAAGTTATTGATTTATTATAATTTTAAATTATTTCATATTTGGATTGTTTCAATTTACTTTTAGATCACTTTTTAGTTTATATCATTTTCATGTTTAGATTTATTTATTTAGGTTAAGTTGATCTTGATTTTATTTTACTTTTTTCAGTTTAGGTGAATTATTTTGAATTTAGATAATTTGAATTTAAACAATTTTAATATCAAATCATTTAGAGTTGAAGTCGATGTGTCTTCAAATAAATAATTTCAAGTCACTTTGAATTTTGTTATTAGTGCTTAACATTGGGGTTGATATCATTTATGATACTTGTTCAAATTATTTCAGGGTTTAAAGATGAATTAATGTTAAGGTTAACAAATTATAATAGTCATTACATTCGCAATACATAGAAACAACTAAAAGAGTAAAAGTACATCTAGAATTACACTAACAACAACAAATAAAAGAAACAAGCATGATAGCAACGAGAAGAGCTAGCTAGCGTTTGTAGCGGTTGAAGAGCTCCTCCGTTTGTGCGTTTCTAAACGCACTGCAAGCAACAACATAGACGCAAATGAGCAACACCACCGCCACAATGAGAATTATACTGGCTTTTCTCCATTCCTTCCTCAAATTCCCTTGCAAACCAGTCTTGCATGCGTTGCAGTTATAGCACAGCTGCGTCTGGTCATTGCTCCATAGGTAGCAGTCAGGATCTCCGGTCAGGTTCGACGGGTTCGTCCACTCTGTCAGGTTCACGAACTTATACCCACAGATAGTAGGGGGCTTGCAACATCCCGACTGTCAAACATAACCAAAAAAACAAAAAAAGAAGAGTTAAAAATACAATTTGGAATCGATTATAAACGAACTCTATAAAAAACATCAAATTAATCGAAAAACAATAAACAAGTAAAAAAACATCAAATTAATTGATAATAAACTGGAATGTTTAATGGTGTTCACAATTGATGCTAAATAATAATACTGTAAAAGTAAGAGGATCAAATTAGATCAAAATAGTGACTAAAATTTAAATTTAAACATAATATCAGGAGCAAAATAACGTTTGACCTTTTTTTCAATGCAAATTGAGACGGAGACAAAGCTATTACCTCATGGACAACTTTTCGTTAGGCCAAAGTTCCATGATTTCAGGCTAATAATTCACCTTTACTACGTCATTAGCATAATATTCTTATATCCATATAAAACACGAGAAATTGTAACCCAACAAAAAAAAAACTGAACCAAACCGATATTAAAACTAACTTTTAGAACTAATAATCAATTTGTTTAATAGTATGTGACATTAAATTCCTTAAACAAAGTTAGAAGTTTGAATTTTAAGGTTTATTAATAAAAAAAATTAAATTAAGAGAGTCATCTTTATAATAAATCTGTACAAAATTCAGTTTAAAATAATTGATTAATAAATGAGATAGTGATAGTTAAAAAAAACTAATTTTTGGATCCACAAAGTGGAGTTTTATGGCAAGGTTGCCCCCACCGAACACAGCATGTGTTTGAAGCTTCATACATTCATGATTTGAGGTATGTTTAAACAAACCGGAAAAGTTGTGCTGACGAATCTGTGTGTGGATCAAATTGATCGATGCCATGGGGTCCAATGAATCGTGGTTTCATTATTTATCCCTTTTGTTTTTTTTTTTGGAACAAATTCCATTATTTACTCTAAAATTAAGACAACAACCCCATAATGGTGCGTCCAAGTTTCATATTATTTAAGGTGAACTTGTCCCCTGCTTTTGGACTTTCAAATCTCGTCCTAATTGCCCAACTCCACCCTGCAACTTCGACAAAGATTAATTAATCCTACCTCTATCTAATAAACCATCACGACAATGTTTTTATCCAAAATAATATTATTGTGAAGGGTAAAGTCCACAAATAGTCCCTCAACTATAGGATACTATTTTATTGAGTCCCTTAACTATTAAATGTTACAAAATGATCCTCGACTACAAGAAGTTCCTTTGTTAAATCTCTTGATTATTAAAAGTTACAAAATAGTCATCTTACTATTCATAATATTCCAAACTCATCCTTTTCTGTTAAAAAAATTAACGATTGTCTAAGTTGAACAATGATATTTTAACCGATATATGATAGTCATTTCAAATTATGATATCATATTTTATCATATTTCAGTCAGCATGTTAACGTACAATTCAGACTGTCTTTAAAAATTTAACAAACATGACAAGTGTGGAACATAATGAATAGTCAAATGATCATTTTGTAACTTTTTAATAGTCAAAGGATTCTACAAAGTAACTCCCTATAATTAGATGACCATTTTATAACATTTAATAATCAAATAACTCAATAAAATATTATTCAATGGTCATAGGACCATTTGTGTAATTTAACCAATTGTGAAATACTTAAAATTTTATCTCTATACCTTATTAACAAATTATAAGAAGTATCTCGAAAGAAGATACAAACTAAAGTTCGTTGAGGACCTAAAACGTTTACCAATTATAAGATAAAAGGATAAAATCTCGAACATTCTACGATAATGTCGTAGGGATATAAATAGATAAGACAAATCGTAAGTTATTTGAGAAAGATTCGATCAAAGTTTGATAAATATTCGACTCGAATAGACTTGATTCGAACTCGAACTCGACTCGAATTCTTAACGAGCCGAAACAAACTACTTAATACTTGACTTGAAAAATTTGCAAGTAGCTCGAAAATATAATATATTAAGATTTTATTTTTTTAAAAATAAATTATTAATAATACTAATATTTATGTGTTAATGTTTTAAAAAAATACAGTATAAGATTTTCATATATTTAAGATTTAAGTTCGAATTTATGGTTTCAATCGAGTTAGTTTATGATTTTTTTTCATTCGAAATTTTTTGAAATTTTACACTCTTTAGTTTATAGTTTCGAATTCGAATCGAGTTTTAAAATTTTAAACTTATAAATTTTTAATCAAATCGAATTCAGTAATATTTGAGCTCGACTTACCTCGTTTTACAACCTTATATAAATAACTATTTTTAGGTGATTGTTCGAGTTTGCTCGATGTTTATCGTTGAAAACTGCTAGAAATCATTCAATCAAAAAAAAAACTGCTAGAAATCACATTCAAGCAACAGTGACATAAAATAATCGGATATTTATAAAAAAACGAGTCGGTAGAACGTGCCACATTATTTTATCCGGTGAAATATACTTTCAGTCCCTACACTTTAGTAAACCTTAAGATTTAGTCCATGTATAAACTCTGGTCTAACTGTTGAAAAAATTAATCCGTATTCTGTATCCTAACTCCATCACTGATCTTTCAAAAAAAAAATTAATAACTCCATCACTGCGTATAAGGACTAAATTCAAACTTCATTCAAAGACAAGGGTTGACCAAGTATTTTGACCATAGTTTATATATGTATTTAAGAAAACACCGGAAATATTTTTCAACTATCGAACACATAAAAATTAGAAAAATATTTTTCAAAAAATATTTTTCAACTATTGAACACACCCTTAGTACGTGAATGAATGATCTTTTGCTGCAATTATTGTCCAACTTTGCTTTGGTTACTTTTTTTCAGTTTTATGAAGAGGAAAAAGGTGTTAAGAGGCTAGATGAAGAAGACAGTTTCGTTCAGTCATGGCATGGGCGTCTATGGTGGGACTAGGAAAGCATGCAAGGATCGACATCCGAAGACCGGAGACGTCAATCGAAATTTTCCGGTACAAGAAATAGACGGGAGAAAGAGATACTGAAATACAGCAATGGCAAGCAATGAATACATTTCAAGGGATGCATTTCCAATTCTCCTTTAGAATTTTTTACAGTTCAATGACTCATTATGACTGACTACAAAAGAATGAACCATGTTTTAACCCCATTATAATTCCTTGTTTTTTATCTACACCCTTCTCCTCACCCCTCCCAAACTGTGTTTCTCTACCCTTCTTATACACTTTCTTTTTCCGACAAACAAAAATACATGGAATCCCATCTTTCTCGACCCCACACTGTCAAACTTCGAGCGATACACGTGTCTTTATCGGTTTTAGATTCAACCCCATGCTTTCAGGCGAGAGAAGCTCCGGTGAGATGCAAGATGCAGTTAATGGGCTCCTCGGGCTACCACTTAGATGGCATGGCCTATACAATCCATATCGCATGAAGAAGTATTCCATAGGTATCAGCATTACATGTGGCTGTTCTTCGGTCACCATTGATCCACAAGCCTGGACCTGCAGAAGCAATAAAACCTCCATTAGTTCGTGATATTTACGTAATCCGGAAAACTATGGACTAGTTGGTACTTACCTCAACCAAGGCACTAAATCTTCTATCGAACTTGGACGTCATGAAGAGGGCCTCGGAGTGAAACGGTGAGCTGTCCCCAACAAATATTAAGGTACGGCATCTTAGCCTCTTCAGCCCACCGGTAAGATCGGGTCTTCTGCAAGTTGGGGATACAAAAGTTTTGATCACTACAAAGTTCTGCAGTGTGATAAAAACGACTAATATGATACCAAAACAGTCTCTTGTCATACCCGTTAATTGCTTGAAGAAACCGCATCACATTCGAGGCATGTCTCTTGTCCAACAACTAAGAAAACAAACATGCAACGGAAATAAGTCAACTCAGGTCAACTACAGGAAATTCAGCGTTTAAAGCAAAACAAAAGAGAAATGTTAGGCACTAACTCTTCGGCAGGCTTGGATTATATCCGACTCGGGAACATCAGCAGTACCACGAACTTCCTGTTGCAATATATAGAAATCTCATTGTTCAACATACTTGAGAAGTGAAAATATAACAAAAATAAACACTATGGTACCTTGCTAAAGTAACGTTGAAGCAAAACCTCTTTAAGCAGTCCGCACATTCCGTAAAAGTACAACAAATTCAGCATCACCTAAGATTTCAGGTCATTTTAGCTATATGATAAACATTTATGCACGAAGAATGTTAACTATAACCAGCAATCTTAGGAAGGAACCTTGTTATAGAACCATTCAGTCCAAGAAGGTGCTCGGCAAAGAGGGGACACGAGTATCAAACCAAGTACACGATCTCTATATTTCATCTGTGATATAAAAACTGTCAATTAACTCGCATCGAAAATTTTAAACATATTAATCAAAGATATCATAAGATAACCTACGGCAAATAGAGTGAGAATGTAAGCACCCGCTGTTACTCCCATGCACATCACGGCACCTAGCCTGAACAGAATCTCAACTATTAGAACTCCTTTTTGACTAATACATTGACACCAGCCAAATCTGATAGCTCTGTACTAAGATGCTATCTTAAGTGTGATGGCGGCATTAACTAAAGAGTGTACTAAAAACAACGCTAAAAAAGGCACTAGTAATAAGATTACCTGAAAAAGTTAAGAACCTCAAGGATCTGATCAGCCAAGTCATCAACAGAACGCGGAGAAGTAGTTTCACAAATTTGAGCAGCTCCCAACTGGAAGAACTCTTGTGAAAGTGTCAGAAAGGAAAATATGTGAATAATAAAATCCAATAATCAATTTAGTTCATTCCAAGGTGATAAAATAGTGCACATAGAACATAATCGAGCAAATAGGAATATGGCAACTAATTTAACCTCATGTCCAGGAGGACTGATATGGTAAATGCAGAAGTTGGGCATCAGCAAGTAGGCTGCTTCTGGACAAAAGAACAATCCTCTGAAACAAGACATATCTGAAAACAGTTTTACAGAAGGAACAACACAATTGTTAGAAAGCAGATTTTCCGATAAACGCTGACTAAGATTAACAACTGAATTCATCCTAATGAATGAGAAATCATGATAATTGCAGAATCAGCCATAGGAGAATACTCGAAGCAAAGGGGCTATGGTGTCTGGCAGCATTATACTTACAATTCAACGCCAAATCAGGATATGTAATTAGTGCCGGCTTGTCTTGGTCACCATATACTATAACAGACACAGAACCACAGCGCGTACGTACATGATGTTCCTGGCAGATGATTGCAGGAAAACCGATTACGAACAAATACATGATGCATAGAAATCGACATAGAGAGAGTTAAGAGTTACAATTAAGCATACAAAATGGATGCATTTGTAGCTTTAATGAGTACCATAATGTTCTCAGAGGTGCAGCCAAAATGTAAAGTTTACAGCTAGACAAATTTTAAAATAATAACAACAATGAAAAAGGTGCAGCCAAGGTTTCTTCAACGAGCTGCAAACAAAAGTTCAACAATCCCAAAGGAAGAATCCATTATCCCAACCTCTTTTGTCATCACAAGCAAAAACAAAAACTGAGAAGGAAAGACTCTCCAAAAAATCAAAGAAACCAAAAGTAAAAGCAGATAACTCCAAAGACAAGGCAGAAGGCAAGAAAATGTAAATGAATTCTTAAATCCATAAATATCACAGCTTATTATCTAACTTAAGGAAACTCCAATTTGATACAAATTAGGATACCCATTACCATAAAAGAGGTCAAATATAAACAAAAAAAAAAGTCAAACAAGGTTAAGAAAAAGCCAAAAAAAATTGCTTTGTATATATTACCAAATGTGTAAAAAAAATATAAGAAAACATGTAAAAAAAAGGGCAAATTTTGACCAAATAATGAAGATCTGAGCAAACTCGTTTCATTAAAATTCTCGATATTGCAGAATCAAATTGGATTGTTCCCTTATTTTTCCATTAAAAAAACTAAATACTCAATTGAACAATGCAAAATGGAAATGTTGAAAAATGGGGTAAAAACCTTTCCACCAAGATAGATCTTTTCAGCATAGAGAGGAATGGAATCGTTTGAGTCAGCCATTGCTGTGGCTCTTTCTCTGTTATATTCAAACAAAGAAAGAAAACTTTTTTTTCTTTTTTCCCCTTCCAAACGATAGATATAAGAATATATGACTCTCTCTTTGCTTCGATATTGACGGCTTATAAATCAAGCGATTCTTTCTCCCTCGAAAACTCCCTATACGCCTCGCTCGATTGCTCCCTCTCTATTATTTATTTTTATTTTTATTTAAATTTCCTTCTTTTTTTCATTTTTTTAAACAGAGCAGAGGTGAAGTCTCCACCGACGCTTTATGTAAACCCCAACGGATTTACTTCTTTTAACACCACTTCTGGTTAAATCTAAACCCCGGTTAGTTTTTTCTAGAATAAACTACACCACTAGTCACCAATCTATTACTTCTTTCCAATTTTAGTCATCAAATTTTTCTTCTTCAAAAGCATGGTTAATATTATTTTTTGCCTAATGCCAAAATTCTCCAAACGTTTAATAAAATAGTCACTTTAACTCTTATTATTTTTAAACACTTTGACTCTAATATTTTATCTTGGGACAATATATATATAATCAAATGAAAACTGTTAATTAACAAAAAGTCAATGCTTGTTGCCCAATTTATCAAGTCCTATGATGTCTAAAGTGGTTATATGACATGTATCACATCATCACTTTATGTAAACGTGATATATTATATACCATCACTTATGTATATTACATGTCACATTATCACTTGTGTAAATGTGATAAATCATCACTTTATGTGCATATGATTTGTACCACGTCATCATATTTGACACATATGATTGTTCAAGTTAGCGATAAATATTAATCATTAATTGATTAACGATTTTAATTCAATTTGATATCATTTTATCACAAAATAAAATGTTGGAACTAGAATGATATAAAAAAATAGAAACTAAACTAACTATTTAATTATATGTTAAGGAAACTTTTTATCATTATGTCATTATTTTTTCCAAAATGCTAAATACCAACGTTTCCTATAAAATTTTAATGGTTGGTTATTAAAACAAAAAAATGCTAACGTTTTACTAAGAAATTAATTTGATGACCAAAATAGGAGATTACTAAGTTGGTTTCTATTAGTGTAGTTTATCTTTTTTATATTAAAACTGTAGTTAAACGTAGGGTTGTAAATGAGACGAGACAGATCGCGAGCTACTCGAGATCGAATCGATCAATGCTCAATAAATACTCGGATTGAATGGACTCGACTCGAGCTCGAGTTCTTAACGAGCCGAAACGAGCTACTCGATATTCGACTCGAAAAGCTCATGAGCAACTCGAAAATATAATATATTAAGATTTTATTTTAAAAAAAATAAATTATTAATAATATTAATATTTATGTATTGATTTTTTTTAAATATAATAAGATTTCATGTATTTAAGTTTCATGTTCGAGTTCGAGTTTGAGTTTGAGTTTGAGGCTTCAATCGAGTTAAGTTTAAGAATTTTTTTTCATTTCGAGCCTTTTCGAGCTGCTCACGAGCTTCAGTTCAGGATTTCAAGTTCGAATTGAGTTTGAAAATTTTAAGCTCGCGAGTTTTCGAGTCGAGTCGAGCTCCATTTCAGAGTTTTTGAGTCGAGTCGAGCTCCATTTCAGAGTTTTTGAGTCGAGTCGAGCTCCATTTCAGAGTTTTCGAGTCGAGTCGAGCTTAGCAATACTCGAGTTCGACTCAGCTCGTTTACACCCCTAGTTAAACGTTATTGTTTGGCCCGACTAAATATTCTATTTACCAAAATAGGCTCGGTTTTTGGGGATAAACTGTGAATTTAGTCCCTATGCTATGCTAAATTTTGGGATTTAGTTTTTGTATTCTGATTTAGTATTATTTGGTTCTCTGTTTTTGTAATTGTAGACACCCATTTTTGATCGAATTTTATATTTTAATTTTTATTATATAATTTATTTATTATTATTAATAATATTTTTTATTTTTTGTAGGAACCCATGTTCAACCCCACTACTCCACCATTAGTCCACTGCCCTTCCACCACAACCATGCCACCATAAATCAAGGAGGGAGATGTTTTGAGTGGAGATCAGATAGTAACTTAGTGGGGACCCTCCAAAAGCTTGTTATTTAATGATGGGGGTTGTAGCAGATCCGGTGGGGGGACCTGCACAAACGAATAAAAAAGAGAGATTTTCTCTTTTTCTTCTCTCTCTCCGATCTCAATTTTCACGATGGCTGGGTAATGATTTTCAAGTAAAAACCCAGTAGAGAAAAAGAAAATGAAGAACAATACCAGCAATACCATGCTAATCCTCCTTCATCCTCACATTTAAAAACAAGGAAGTTCCAACAAGCTATGGCTTCTTGCTTTCATTTCCTTCTTCACCATAGCATTCGTTCTCACTCTCGTTTACACCCGAGAGTCGATAACCGGGAAAACTGCTGCGACGACCTACGATCACGACCGTGCCAGGCGGTGGTAATGGTGTTACTGCGTCATTTCCGACCACCGTCGTCAACACCACCTCCATAAGAGCCAACTTCGAGGATAATAGTCTTCGATGTCATCGGCGTTCATTTTCAGTTGCCATCGTTGTTTACGATGGATCCATGCCCGTTCGTTCGTTTACGATGGATCCATGCCTGTTCGTTTGTTTGATCGTCGAATCATTAGCTTTGAAATTCCCGCTTGCAACGACAACATGTTGAATCTTTGAAGCGTCAGTTGGAGATGGAGGGTTGTTTATTTGTTTATAATTGTTCAACTTGCACTGGTTTGGCTTTGTTTTGGTGATCTTCGATCACGGTTCAACTTCTTTCGTATTCTTATTTGCACATTGATGTCATTCTTAAAGGCAATTTCAGCGGCTTTACTGGAAATGCTAGTTTGCATGGCTTCATCTACGTGATTTTCTTGCATGGTAATAGTAACTTTGTCATTAATTATGGATTGAGAATTGAAAGCAATACAAACTTGGTTAGAGCTTTTGTAGGTTGTGGACCCCGACTGCATAATTGGTGCCTCATTAGATTTAGCATGGTTAACTTTCACCTTTCCACCATTATAGGAAATCCGATTGTGATTACCAACGGGATTGGAACCAGCTCAATTTGCTTTGGGTTATTAATTGTTGCATTAGCAGTGATGTTGTTTCCATTAACATTTTTGGAATGTTGTACACCAAGAGCGATGCTTTTATTTGTTTCCTGTTCCTCCTCTTATTTAATTAATTATTTATTTTTAATTTAACATTCTTTCTTAGCCTTTTCAGTAATACTTTCAACCAGGCAAGTAATTTGAATTAGATTTTTTTTTAATTTTAATTTTAATTTTCGCTATTAAGACAATCGACAAATTGATTGGTACCGAAAGGGCAGTTCAAGGGTGTTAATCCTTCCTTGACCGTAATCGACTCCCGAACTTGACATATTTCTGGTAAAACGCAGATCAGGTAAGATGGTGTCCGATCAGCCTAAATATTTTTAAAATGATCGGTGGCGACTCCTAACCCATCAATTCAAGTTGAAGCCCAATTCCGGGCCCAACCGAAAGACGGTTCCGACAGCTTGGCGACTCCGCTGGGGACATGTAAGTGGGTCAGGCCGAAATTAATTTCCGGTTGTCTTTTTTAGAGAAAATTACAAGTTTAAATTTTAATTTATTTATTTGATTCTAATTATTTACCTTTGATTTTTTTTTCAAATAAATAGTTGTACTGACGTTTTTTAATGATTTCAGATTTTTCAAATTTTCACTTAAGGCTCTAAACCTGAGCTTCGAACCCTATTTAAGTGGGGGTGAAAGCGACGCCTTCGTGTGAATTTATTCACCGCACAAATCTAGAAAGTAGCCTTCGGGATTCATATACCTTATGTCTTCGTGTGAATTTATACACCGCACAGATATAAGGGAATGTGTCATCTCGAGTTTAACTTAGTCCACACAAGCTTGTAATAGGCTTAGGACTAAGGGTCTGGCAAGCCCAAGGGGGCACCAGCAAGGAGAACTCGGGTACCCTTTTTTAGAACCAAAACCAGGAGACTATGGAGAATTAGAGCCCACCCAAAACCTCATTTCAAAACCTAGGCTGCTTCGAGATTATTTCGTGCTTTATTTTTTGTTCCAAAGCATGTGAACTAGACAAATATGCGGTTAAGATTTGTTTGAAATTAGCATGCGGGATAGAGATCATGTCCGGGTAGGAATAATAAGCATATGGGGTAGATATCATGTGGGGTAGGATATTTCATTTTTATTATTCTTTTGAGTTATCTCATTAACTCTTTTTTTTGTTCTCTTTCATTTTGTTCTCATCATTCGCATCATTTAAAAGAGGTGTTGATCCACAAAAAACGTGTTTGTTAAACATGAATAATCTGCATTAATGGACAAAGGGTTTGTAATACAAGAGATGAAAATGTAGAGGACATTATACAAGGTGACTATGTGTCACATTCAATCCAGAAGATGTGGTGCCCACAATTGAAGAGTATATCACTATGCTGCATTATAAAGTACTCAGAATGAACCGGGTCTACATCAAGCACAATGAAAGTTTATCTTTGAAGAACTGACTGGAAAAGATTGCAGGGGCAAGACGAGGAAAAGGTTACTGACCCGGACACTCCTTTTGAAAACTACGAGAATAAGATGGCGAAACCCTAGCTGAGCTGAATGCCATTGCTGATGAATTCAAGAAGCAAGCTTCATATAGTTTCTATCGATAGAGGGCTTCAATGGTGTTGCCGTTAGGGAACAGACTCAACAGAGAGTGGAAGCCGGAGGTTCAGTCTGCAAATAACTCGTCATTTGCATGATTCATCCAGAGAAACCAGAGCGGTTCGACAGGTTATTCAACCAGTGATAGACAAAGGCAGAAGACTAGTCAACATGTCAGAAGCTGTCAAGATATTTTGTCTCTTAAAAGATAAAACACTTTTGTTCCCAATAAAGATTATTTATAATAACATACATGTTTTCGGATCAATGCCTCGAACATTTCATGTATTTTTGCATTTTGCATCTACATTTCATCTTTAAGTATTTTCATAAACATTGAAATTTCTTCATGGAGGATTCAATGAAGTGGTTTTAACCACATGACACCACAAGCAAGATTGTAACATCAAAAGAAAAAACTGAAATCAGTACAGTGGGAGCCCAATCAGCTGATTGTATGACTAAGCCTGCCAGGATGATTTGAGAAAAGAGTCCACATATCCTAAGGGCTACGATGTTGAAGCTGTTTGCAGTTGCCACATA